TGTTAACAAACGTTGGTTTTCACGAGACTCACCGGCGCATGCGCCCGGACCTGCTTCCGTGTACAAATGTTAGCGCAAGCTACATTAAAGTGATTATTAAGTTTTGAATATGGATATTTTTCTAACAAAAACGCATCGATTTGCTACAGGAGGACTTTGTTCACCCCCCGGAGCTGTGTGAGACTCTTTTTTTTTTATGGATTGGCACTTTTTATTTAACTTCTTTTGGACTGATGCATGCAACACCCGCTGAGTGCCATTATACAGCTTGAAAGATCAAAGACAATTTTTAATATAACTCCGACTGGATTCGTTTGAAAGAAGAAAGTCATATACACCTCGGATGCCTCGGGGGTGAGTAAAACGCAGGCTAATTTTCATTTTTGGGTGAACTAACCCTTTAAGGTGTTTCAACTCTAAACCGTTGCTTCTGGCCAAAATTTGAGTCCATAATCCATAATAACGCTTCCTCCAGTGAAAAAGTCCATCCCCTCTTGTACTTTTACATTAAAATCCACTCGCATATTTGTTTGGAACGGTTTTGGACAGTTTTCGTTTGTAAACGGTGCTTGATCTGTGCCGATTTCACTCAGACGAGACGACATTTTCACCAGAGAAGGCAAAATTATGGATCGAGGACTCATATTTTAGCCAGAAGCAACGATTTGAATTTAAAAACGACTTGATGGATTTGTTTCCATCAAACACATCTTTTCGCTTCACAAGATGTTAATTGATGGATTGGAGTCGTGTGGATTACTTGTGAATTATTTTGAAGTTTTTATCAATGCCAGGACACAACAAGCCGACTTCAAAAAATTAGTGACGACGAAAGCCAATGTCGTTGCCTCACATCAGCTGTGTCTGGACCAAAACGCTGCACTTGAACAGACTACAGCCGATTGCAAACTAGCACGTGCCTTTTGTGCCTGCATGAGAGGAGTTAACTGTCTATATCAGCAGCTATCAATAGTATAGATTCATCATTCAAAAGGAGAAACAGAAACAATATACAAGACATAAGCAGATATACGCAGACATACAAAACATAAAGCAGTGCTTGCTTACCATTTTGAATAAAATGTTGATAATTTTTTGAATTTGAATTGTTATGTCATTATGAATAACATGTTGTTATGAAAATATTATATAGTATATAAAATACCATCGGCTTGGAGTGTTCCGGCCTTTTAGCTGTTTGGACTCTCATTCTGACGGCACCCATTCACTGCAGAGGATCCACTGGTGAACAAGTGATGTAATGGTGAACTGCTCCTTTAATGATGTGTGATCTTATGAAACAGATGTGTCCAACATACTCGTATGTACGTTTGTCGATGTCTGAGAAGCTGAATTAGCACAAGGTCATTCAAACTGGTGCTGACAAGTGAAAGCGATCACTATTGGAATCTTGGGGATGTTTGGGCAGGAGATTCATGTAAACAGTGTTGTGCCTAATGTTAATTTAAACAAAGCGGTCAAAAAAAAGTGGCCAAATTATTATTTTGGCATTCACATTTATGGACACATTTAGCATCCGAACCCTCAGTCAGTGCCAGTCCCGCCAGCAGGTCTATGACTTTATGGTTGCCATGTTGTTTAGGCACAAGCTCTTGGGCTTCCAGCGCCACCACGATATCTTCACCACACTTCTCCGTCAGGCACCCTATTCGCCTCAGACACAGAACTAACACAGACACCTGGAATAAAATCAGAGCGTTCATTAAAAATCACACAACCAACTACGATCACAGTAAATGCTTCTGATCAATCCTGAGCACTGATTGATTACTAAACTTCCCCTCGGCAATCACTAAAGTACTTGCCTTACTGGCATTAAAGCCCATGTTAAAACATGTTTACTGTTTGAATATGGGCAAATGTGATATAGACTCATGGTCACGTTATGCTTTCTTTGCCATATGGATTTTATAAGCACATGATAGTGAGCAAATGATTATCAGTTTTGGCAAATGAGCACTGCATTTAAGATGCAGTTTCATGATGCATTTTCTGAAGTTCAGGTGTTTAGCCATCTATGTGCGCTACAGTACGCTAGATAAAACTCACCATATCTTGAGCAATGTCTTCCGTGCTCTGGGACAGAGAGCTGCTGAGGTCTGCTGACGACCCTTCTGTTCCTGGAGCTGGACTAACACAGCTGCCTGAGACACCCGTACCATTAGGACGCAACGACTCCACACCAGACTCTGAATCACAACAACACAAACACACATGACTTCAAGATACTGACAGTTCTGGTTCTAGTTTTTAAAATAAAAGTGCATTGAGTGTTGCTGTACCTGAGTCCATGAGGATGACAAATTCACTGATGTCACTATCAATGGACAAGCCATCGTCCGCCAGACTACCCTCTAAAATGGCACTGTCACAGGAATTTTGGGAAGGTGACTGTTTCATGGACTGAAGCCGCAGGTTTCCCATTATGGAGGGACTGGACTCTTCTGGATGTGCACTTAGCTCCCTACAGAAGTCATTTCAACATGATACTTGAGTTAAATTATGTGCTATTAACCGCACTGACGGGAAGTGCTGAGCATAACTAATTAAACATAATAAAGGGATTGCTAATTAAAATAGTCATTAATTACATTCCAAACCCATACAACTTTCATTCCCTTTCGAAACACAAATGAAGATATTTTCAATGAAACCTGAGTAATTTTAATTTTATTTACGTGTAACATTGCATATATCAACGTACATACATAGAGCACATCAAATATGGTAAAGAGAAGCTCAATGGTAGTTGCCTCACACGCAAGAACAAACCTCATTGGTTACTTTGTATCAAGCAAGTACTGTGAAGTTTACGTTATTTTATGTGCTCTAAATATTTCTGTTGAGCAATGTTTATTTGCTTAAAAAAATCACATAAAATGATCAAGTCTCTGCAGAAGACGTTGATTAAACTGCTTGATTCATATGGATTACTTTTACGATGTCTTTATGAACTTATTGAATCGTCAAAGTTGTGGTCAACAGAGGGACAGCAATATCTCAGGTTTCATTCAAATATATTCATTTGTGTTTTGAAGATGAATTAAAGTTGTATGGATTCATAACAACATGAGAGTGAGTAAATGATAAAAGCATTTTCATTTTTGTGTGAACTATCCCTTTAAGACTACTGGCCGTTGTACCAACAATGTGCAAATTTACTGTCTGCAACTATGCTTAAACTGCTTTAAATAAAGTCCCATGTTCTTCCTTAAACCAAATAAAGACATCCATTAGAATAGCCACAAGCAGTATCAGCTCTTTTCAATTATGTACTGTGTGCACTGCATGTGAGCTAAAAAAAATATTTTTTTTCCAGCTTAAAGGGATAGTTCACCCAAAAATAATAAAAA